AAGCTGGAATTTTTTACTTCAGCACAATCCGATAAAATTTCTTGCAATATTTATTCCTATTTTATTGGACAAGGAAAAAAGAATTGTTTGCTCTTGTACTTTTCCGAAAAATGGCGGCGATGTATTGCCACGAGAGAAAACAATTGTCAAGCAAATGTTCATCGATAAATTATATACCAGGATTTATTGCTAATTAATTGCTCGCAGAAAAACCAAAGTTCAATTTTTTTGCTCCCCCCTATAGGGGCGAATCGCCACCCCCTTAAGGGGAGCAATATCTTTGTAAAAATACAATTTTCAAACCCAGATTATTTGGCAATTAATTCCCACGTGAAGAAATAGTTCGATTCTGCCATTTTTTACGTGGCCATGCTGGGGCGATATAGGCGGGGCTGGCCTACCACCTTAGGGGTTGTGCAAAAAACTCGAAATTAGGTTCTTCTCGGAGCAATTAATTAGAAATTAATTCCCACGTGAAGAAATAGTTCGATTCTCCCATGTTTTTCATGTTTCCGTCCTGCGATTCACCCCTTCAACGGTGAGCAAAAAAATTGAAATTTGGTTCTTCCGCGAGCAATTAATTAGCAATAAATTCTGGTATATAATTAATCGATGAACATTTACTTAATAATTATTTTTTATTGCGGCAGTGCTAGCTTTATATAAAGCTGACATCGCCAAGATTTTTCGGAAAAGTATAAGAGACACTTTGCAAGAAATTTTATTAAATTGTGCTAAGTGGCAATTCCAGCTTTATATACATAGTTTCGGACTGCTCGTCAGGCCGGAGCGGGTTAACAGCCGCGTCCAGGAACATGTACATCCGATGAACATTTACTTAATAATTATTTTTTATTGCGGCAGTGCTAGCTTTATATAAAGCTGACATCGCCACGATTTTTCGGAAAAGTATAAGAGACACTTTGGAAGAAATTTTATTTAATTGTGCTAAAGTGGCAATTCCAACTTTATATGCATAGTTTCCGACCGCTCGTCAGGCCGGAGCGGGTTAACAGCCGCGTCCAGGAACAATATCCAACGTCGGCTCGTATCCTTGGCAAGGCACATCGACGCTTCTCCAAATAATCTCTCTCTCTCTCCCACTCTCCTCGAAGACACGTGTTTCCCTCCACGTGGCGGTCCGTCCGTCGGAAGGCACCGAAAGGGAAATCTGCGACCGGAATTCCTCCCAGATTGCGGACACTTTATCGCGGCCTGTACACAAAATCCAGAATTAGGACTCGACTCCCGAGGGCGCGGATATTAAAAAGACAAATCCGGGAGGAGGTACCTTCTGTGTTTTAAAAATACCCGCTGGACTGGACGTCGCATCTCCGTCTTCGATCGGGCCGAAGGACGACGCACGCACAAGTTCGTAATGGTCGCTGTCCTTGCGTCACGAGCGAGCGATAAGTTGACATTTGTACGCACAGTGCCGACAATTAAGTCTCCAAATTTATGGATCCTCTCCCTCTCCGTGCCCACCACGTGGGAACCTCCACGTGCCTCTCAAGGACTCCGGGGCAATATCACTTCCCGGTTCAGAATGCCGGTCATGTACTCTCGCTTGGAATCCAGTTTCGCTCTGGAATCTCTTTTCCCGAGGGAAGTTAGCTCGACTCATCCCATCGGCACGTCGGGGACCATCGATTGGGAGAAAAATATTAACTATAATTCTTGGAGGTCACGCAGAAGAATTAAAACTACTGCATTGGGTCTCGAAACAGCATATGACGTTTAAACTTCCTTGCCGACGCAGTGAAACTAACACCGCAGGGAAATAACTTTGTTTAAAAACGTTGGCACGCTCGATATCGACTCTTACAAGAATACTAAATTAACAGTAGTATTTCAATAATGTGACTAGATCGCAGGAAAGTGTAATTACAATACAAGATGAATCGGGGCATCTCCGAAGCCCTTCCGCCTCCTCGTTATGCACCGACCGAACCTGTCGCAGCCTTCCTTGTATAGAAATAAATCTACGCAATGCTTAATCCTCTATTTTCTACTTCTACTCTCCACGCCATGCTTACTTCTACAACAATTTACCTTAAACTTAACAATGATGTTACAATCCTATCCGCAGACCCATAATTCCTCCTCGGAACCTGACAACCGAGGACCCAAGAGTCACCTTTCCGCATATATTAATAAGCGCTCAGTTACCAATGCCTTTCCAAGTCGAGAATGAACCTGGACACGGGTCCAACGCAATGACTTCCATCCGCATATCAAATAATAAACACAGCGTGGCCATCGAGAGGGTCAACTTGGACTAGGTTATGTGGACCTCGCGTCGCAACCGGTCGACCGAGAACGCATTATTTCCGTCTCTCACCTGCATGCTATCCGCGGAAATGATTTCCCCGGAAAACCGCTGAGCCAATTCGATGCCCAGTCGAGATTTCCCGGTCCCGGTGGCTCCCAGGATCACGAGAAGCGGCAGTCGCGACATCTCCTCTTCCCCGGCGTCCGCCATTTTGGAATTGCCCCGCGCATGCGCGCCCCCTGGGCGCCGCGCTCAGCGCCGGCTCGCCTCTTCCCTTTACTTTTCCTTTTTCCACGCGCGAGCCATAAAATAATAACGGTGAACCGGTGAAATGCAAATAAACCCCGGGGAAATTATCATAAATGACCCGCTTTCTGTCGCGGCCGCGAAATCCGGGAATCCGTGTCCTCGAGATCGAAGCAGCCTCAACGAGACCCCGACAATTTCCCCCTTCATATAATTATTAATTAACATGCGAAAGCCGATTACGGCGGGCGCGAAAGTTCACAGAAAATTACCTGCGAAAGTGATTCCGCGAACGGCTTGTCCCATTTTCACGTCGCGGATATATATACATATATATAAAGTGCAACGTCACTACAATAAATAAATAAATAAATATACACACATATATACATGTATTTATTTATTTTTTTGTAGTGACGTTGCACTTTATATATATATATATATATATATCCGCGACGTGAAAACCTGTGTATATATATTTATTTATTTACTTATTCATTTATTGTAGTGACGTTGCACTTTCGAGGATGTACCGCAAGGAGTTAGGAATGCCGCTTCGCGGAAATATCGCAACGATGCCGATGATGTTCCCCTCGATAACCGCGCAATTGCATGCCCATGACACACTGGTTGATCGCAGATCGCAATCGTTTCCACGATTCATCCGCGCGATTGCGTAAATTCACCTATTCTGCCCTGCAATATTCCATTTGCCTTACCGCACTTAAGGTGAACTGAAACCCCCCTCTGATCAGCTGACTCGAATAAGACACTTTTTTTTTTAAGGGTATCGGATATCTAACTCTGAATCTTTGAGATATAACTCGTGAGCACCTAGGAATTACCCTGCACTGTTAAAAAAGATATTATGACTTTATAACGTTGTTGGAAGTTTTATTCAGACACGGTACACTGATTTTATAACGGATTTTTAAATAAAATGTATGACCATGTATTAGAAATTTAGTACATGTGCGTAATACTTTGAAGAGTGTGACACTATGAAAATTTGGATTTTCATATTTTCAAATAAAATGTATAACCATGTATTAGAATTTTAGTACATGTGAGTAATACTTTGAAGAGTGTGACACTATGAAAATTTGGATTTTGAAGAAACATTTTTTTAAATAAATCTTCTTTACCAAAGTCGATCAAGTTCCTCGACGTGTTTCACTTCACCTTAATTCGATAAATCATATCTAGCGCGCGAAGTGTTTTAACACTTGGCGCGCTATCAAAGCCCGTTATCGAAAAACCGCGATAGAAACGCAGGAAAGCAAGAGCTTTCGTCATTTCCAGACTCCTGACCGCGGAAATACTGTTAATGGACCCTTGTTTTGCTTTATCCGGACGAGTCACGGCGATCGGCTATTCTCACGACTGACTCAGCTCGGTAATTGGCGATGTCAATTCCCGGAAAGTCTGCTTAGAGTTTGAAGGAGCGAAATCGTCGCGAGAGCTGTGAAAAATGTACGGGGAAAAGGAAAAAAAATTTTAAAAAATTAAAAATGGAGAATATGTACACCGAAATGCTGCTTAGCGTTTGAAGGAGAGAAATCGTCGCGAGCTGCAAAAAATGTACGGGGAAAAGAAAAAAAATAAAAAAAAAATAAAAAATGGGAGAATTTGTACACTGAAATGCTGCTTAGCGTTTGAAGGAGCGAAATCGTCGCGAGCTGCAAAAAATGTACGGGGAAAGAAAAAAAATTAAAAGAAAAAATAATAAAAAATAGAGGAACATGTACGCCAAATTTTTTACTTTTCCCGACACATGTGCCCGTTGCGGAAAGATGGCTCTCCCTCATCGCAAGGGGACACATGCCAGCGTCGAGACTGTTTTCCATAATTCCCTCGTTTAACAGCCTAATCGCCTCGAGCAACCCGACAACTTCTGGTCGACAAAGTATCACCTATTCCCTGACGCAACTGGTTAAGAAGAAAAAGAAAGAGTGAGAGAAAAAAAAAGAAAACAAAGAAGAAGAAAATTCCCAAGCGTAAGGAGCGCAAGGAAGTCCGCAAAGGAGATTACGAATTCTTGACACTGTTTGCGGAATCTTCATTATCCGAATTATTCCCGATCGCAAGCCGGGTTGCATAAGGAGATCACGAGCTGAAGTCCGGGAAGAAGATTACGGGCCTTTTTTTACGCGATTTGCAACAATTCCCCGTCCTCGTTCTTTCCGCACGAGTGGCGTGAAAAAAAAAAAAAAAAGAAAAAACGGGGAGGAGAGAAAAGGGAAAGAAAAATAGAGGCGGGAATTCCCGCAGGATCTCCTCCCGATTGCCCGATGGATCGCAGTCTCGCACCGTTCCCACGGGCGGGAATTTCGAAATTCGAAGTGGACCTGCAATTAAAAAGACTGGACGGGACGAGAGGAACGAAATGGAGGATCCGCGAGAGGGAAGAAAGGCGAAAGAATTCGGGAACTCTCTCACGGACCAGGAAGAGGGGGAGCGTGGAAGAACACATAAGCCCTCGTTAAATGATATATCGTTTTATTTAATATGTCGATAAGATACTTTGAAAACATAAATGTCAAGGAACTGTCTGACCCCTTTTCCTAGTAGAAAAAGAAAAAAGAAGAAAAGAAAAGATAAACAAAAGGACATTCGATTCTCTCAAACAAAACATTAGCATAGCGGCGAGCAACAGTAATCGCCTCGCGCAATTAAGGCTCTCGTACCAGGAGAAGAGTCACCAATGGCTCGTCGAAACGTCCCGAGACCTGCCGTCAAAATCCCCCTTCCACGAGATGATTCCCAAAGGACGTGATAAAAACCCTCCGACATCTCTTCGAGAGCGAAAAAAAAGAAAGAAACAATCCAAAACCGTTCCCGGATCGTTTCGTCGAGCCAGCGACATCCGCGAGTCACTAGAACCGTTTCTTCCTTCCCTCTTTTCTATTTCTATCTTTTTCTTATTTCCTCTCATCCGTTTAAGTACACAACATAACTAATTCCTTCCCGCCTCGCTCGAAAACCGCGTTAACCGTACAAAGTATAGCACTGTACAAAAGTTCGCCCGAGGGATTCGTAGAAAACGGCGCCCGCGTTATATAAGACGGTAAATAGAGGTATATAAATACTACGCCTAAGGGTGTACGTGTACGTGTGTGTGAGTGCCAGTGTCTGGGTGTCGCCGCGAATCGTCGTGTATAAATATTACAGGATTGCATTTTTCGTTTCCGGGCCGGGAAGTAGGAAAAAAAAAACAACATATACGAAGAGAAAGAATAAAAAAAGAATTTCCGCCCGGCTAGGTACATGTCCTAGGTCGAATTTCCGAAACACCTCGCATGATCGTCTCCCGACCCATGTACACGTCGATTCGTATGTACGCACCTACGCACGTGCTCGTGCCACGTGGTCTACGGGCGATCAGCTGATCGCGCATTCGGTGCACGCGCACCGAGCCGGCGACCGTAGGACCGACATATATATATATAAATCTGTACGTATGTGCCCACATATATACACCCATACCCTCGTGTATATATTCATGCGTGTATCTATGCATACGCCTGCACTCCTATTGGTGTACTAATTATTCGCTATTTACCATTAACATAGTCATCGAGAGATGTAGGTACGTTTAATGAACAGGGAGCTCGCGACCGAGCCCGGCGCCGCTTTTCGATCACCTCGCAAACGGCGTCAAATCGGAGTTAAAAAATGGAATTCTCGAGAAAAAAAAAAATAGGTAATAATAATAACAACAATCTGCCAATTCCTCAAGATAGGACCCGAAAGCCTGGCGCCGCAATCACGACGAGGTGCGGTTCGGTATTGAGGAAAAAGAATGGAACAAAAAGAAAAGAAAAGAAAAAGAAACGTTTCGCCGAAATCGCGTCATCGAGAGGCGATTTTTTCCCTGAACTCCGACCCACTTTGTTCGGCCCTGTCACGCGATTCCCAGGGTAAACCTGGGTGGACCTCTTCCAGCTGGAATCGCGTGAAGTCTTGGTATCCTAATGCTAATCCTCGAAATATCGAAATATCTCGGACTCGGGAAAAGTGGCGTGAAATTAAAACAAAAAGGAAAAACGGGAAAAACCAAAAAAAGCTTGTGGCCCGCGGTCCCCTTAAAGCGGCTAAGTCTCTGCGGTATTTTCTTTCGTCGACGAGGAGCGTCGCGACGCCGACGTCGAAATCCCATGTCGTGTCTCGACCTCCCGGCTGACTTCTACTCGAGGCATTTTCTTCTCTTCCGAAATTCCGCCTCTACAAGGCAAGAAAGAGAAATAGAAAAATAATAACGATCGACGCCGCGCGCTCCTTTGCGCGAACGTCAGGTTGCTCTTGTATCAGTATTCATTGTTTTTTTTTATCTCCTTGATTTTTTCTCCACGGGTTTTCTTGCAAAAATAAGAAGAGATTCTCTATTATTATTATAATATATATGTATGTATATCGGTACATATTGCGGTGCATCGACCGTGTCGGGTTCCCGTATTTTTCGCCTCCTTTCCTCTCTCCGTTCCCGCGACATTTCTCTCTTTCTTTCTCTCTCTCTCTCTCCTTCCTCCTACGCGTCCCTGAAGCGACAAGAAATCATCTATTGGTTCTTTCTTTCTTTTTTTCCTTCTCTTTTTAACAGCCGCGCATAAATGAGACGGTCGTCCATTTTCGGTGTCTCTCTTTCTCTCTTTATTTCTCTTTAATCGACGTGAACGTCCTTCATTTTTTTTTATTCTTTCTTTCTTTCCTTCCATATTTCTTCATCGTCATATCGACAGTTTCTCGCGGCAACGGGCTAGCTCGGCCTACAACGTATAAAAATAAACGGATAAATAAAAATAGTGTTCTGCTCTATCGATTTAAAAAAGAAATCCTAACGTCGTATAAGCCGATTCCCCGGACCTCTCGTTCGGTCATTTCTCCCTCCTCTTCTTCTCTAGCTCAGTAACTACCGTCGTATGTTACAATTGAAAATAGAAGAAAACAAAGAAATAAAAAAAAAAAAAGAGAATTAAATCCCCAGATCTTCGTCCACGTGGGGCGAGGAACCGACCTGGGTCAACGTCGACTCTGTTGCGCTCACTGAACGTCAAACGAAGACCACGTGGGGGTCCGGTACTCTCACTTTCTCTACTTTCCATTAACAAAAAAGAAACGAAGATATCAATAATCTAGGCAACCGGAAAACTCAACGGCGATTGGTAGGTTCGGAAGGGCATCTATGTACATATAATAAAAAAAAAAGAGACACTTCGCGATTCGCCCCGACTTAAAAAGCGCTTATAAGGGAAAAAAAAAAAAGAAGAGTAAAAAGAGCCAAAATAAAAATTGAAGGAGTGAAAATAAGTACAGGTTTCCTCGATAGGGGTGAGATGGCAATTGGATCATTTCGGAAGGACCAAGGATTAAAATCGAAGGAAGTCCTTCCAAAGAGCAAAGGGTTCCTTTCCAACGGAAGAGAAAGTACAAGAGAGAAGATAAAAGGGGAAGAAAAAAAAAATAAATAAAAAATGCGAAAAGAAAACTCGGGAGCACCGCCGGAGCGAATCTTGACGAGTGGTCGAAAAACCCGAGGCTCTCTCTCAACTGTCCTAATCTATTATCATTAACACATTGTTACTCACTATCGTCTCTGTTATCATCATTTACAGTAACTACAAGTTTAATAATTCTTTAATATGTCTATGTGGCTAACAGGTACTTTTGCACTCATTCGAGGTGACGGCGAGCCGCGGATTCCAATCGCGGTTCGGCTTCTTATCAATTGTCCTTATCGATTAGGTTAAAAATGTATCAAATGTGTGAAATGCAACGAGAAGGGAAGTACCAGCGAGAGGGCCCCCTGCAGGGGACCCGCGTGTGCACAGCGTGATTGAAGCAATTTTCTTTCTCTCTCTCTATTTTTTTTTCCTTCATATAAAATTCCACATTTTTGGGATCCTTATCACGTGCTATCAGAGGATCTTCCGATTGTTCTTTTTTTACTTCCAGGTCGAGGAAGGAACCCCGGAATAATCCGCGAGCTGCCCACCGCTCTCGACTCGCTTCCTCGTCCAGCAATCCCGGAAAGGAAGTCTTTTGCGGTTTGCAGGAAAACAAGAAAAGAAAAGAAAAGAAAAGGAAAGAAAATAATTGTCCAGGGGTCGCCCTCCGCCAGAGGGAAACAGAGAATCTGGACCAACTGATTTGAGATCAATGGATGGCGGACATCCATTTTACTATTGTATTTTCCTCTTTCCCATTTATATCATTATTTCGATTTTCCCTGAGGACCGATTATTACCGAAAATGAGATTGGAGAAGGATATCGATATCTTCTTCACTCGCATCTTCGTCTGAATTTCTTCGGATGACTTTCGTCTCCTCCTTAATTTTTTTTTCTTCCTCTTTCGTTCTCATCTCGAGGAAAACAGAGAATCTGGACCAACTAATTTGATATCCATTTTACTATTGTATTTTCCTCTTTCCCATTTATCATTATCTCGATTTTCCCTAAGGACCGATTATTACCGAAAATGAGATTGGAGAAGGATATCGATATCTTCTTCACTCGCATCTTCGTCTGAATTTCTTCGGATGACTTTCGTCCCCTTCTTAATTTTTTTTTCCTCTTTCGTTCTCATCTTGAGGGAAACAGAAAATCTGGACCAACTGATTTGAGATCAATGGATGGCGGATATCTATTTTACTATTGTATTTTCCTCTTTCCCATTTATCATTATCTCGATTTTCCCTAAGGACCGATTATTACCGAAAATGAGACTGGAGAAGTATATCGATATCTCCTTCACTCGCATCTTCATCTGAATTTCTTCGGATGACTTTCGTCCCCTTCTTAATTTTTTTTCTTCCTCTTTCAAACAGAAAATCTGCACCAACTGATTTGAGATCAATGGATGGCGGATATCAATTTTACTACTGTATTTTCCTCTTTCCCATTTATCATTATCTCGATTTTCCCTAAGGACCGATTATTACCGAAAATGAGACTGGAGAAGTATATCGATATCTCCTTCCCTCGCATCTTCGTCTGAATTTCTTCGGAAGACTTTCGTCCCCTTTTTCACTTTTCTTTTTCTTCCCCTTCCGTTCTCATCCCGAGAGAACTCCCGAGATCCTCTTGATCTTCCTTTCTCCCGTGTTCGCATCTCCGAGCGATCGTTTGGCACACTTCAGAGGGAGAGTGGCCCTAAATTTCCACATCCCGATTTCCCCAAAAAAGTCATTAGGCCCTCCCGAGGGAGTTGGGCTCATCCGCCCAAGAGTCACTGCGAATCTCCTACGCAAGGCACAAATGCGAGCTCTCGGGATTTCCATTCCGCGTCCCCTGGATTCCCGTAAACTCGGTTAAATCGGACTTTTCGATGCACTTTCGATGCACCTACCAAGAAATCCAGGAGACGCGTTGAAAATCCCAATTATTACGAGGCGAGGCGACCTGCGGAACCGCCGGCGTGATATCGTCGAGGTCGACCCCGCTTTCTGGGCTTTTCCCCTTTCCTTCGTTCCTCCCAATATTTATGCAGCCGAGCCGAAGACACGGAGACAAAGAAACCTCCCTCGAGAAACCACGGGGGATTTTCCTATATATATATACATACATATATAGGAAAAAATATATATATATATATCCATACAGAGGGAGCGATCCCCGTTACGAAATTCGTGCGGTGCCGCCTGTAAAGCTACTAGTATCAAAAACTCGTAAAAATCCTCGAAAAACCGGGGACCCTCTCTACTCGAAATCCCGAAAAAAATCCAGATATCTCGGGATCGACCTCTCGATTAAATCGAAAGAAAGGAAAGAAACCAAGACATTTCCCTCTTTTTTTTCTCTTTTTTAAATCAAGAAGAAGGCTTTCAAAGTGCACTTTCAGCGATTTCTATCTACCTCGACGGACCCTCCCGGTTTTTTTTTGTATTGTTTTTTCTTTTTCTTCTATTCTGGAATTACCTTACGAGTGTGAAAAAACTTGAGCCTGCGTGTCGTCACATATTATCCTTTTTTATCTTTTTTTTTTCCCCACCTCTCTCTCCTCACCTTCGATCGACTTGCACCAAGCGCATTTTAATTAGCGATCAAAGTTTCTCTCATATAATATGTATGTATGTATATATCCTTTAACATCTTCCTACTCCCTTCCTCTTGTACGCGGCCGCATGCCTTCGTCTCTCTCGCACTCATTGCATCCGCCTATGACCGGCGCCCCTCGCTTACGCGCATCCTCCTCTTCTCGTCCCTTTTTTTTCTCCCCTCTCACCTCCTTCCACGCATCTTCCCCGATCCTTTCGCGCCCTAGAAAAGTATTCCTCGGTCCCTGGTTTCATTTGCTAGGCCTATTACTTTTTTTTATCATGCTATGCGGAATTTCCTGGTCGTCCAGTTCTTTTGAGCTTTCTCTTTCCATCTCCCGTGACTTCCTCTAAAAAAAGCCTCGCGTCAGTTGAAAGCGGTCGTCTGTTGAAAAAGTACTTACAAACAAATACTGGTACCTACTAATCGTAATGAACACATCGTTTCTTCGTTAAAGGAGACGCAAGCTCGCACTCATACCCTCTCTCTCTCTCTACCCTCTTTAACCGTTTTCAGGTGTCCAAGAACGATTGAAAAAAGTTATTAATTTACACACAATTTCGCTCCACTTTCCAGGTGGGCCTGAAAGGGTTAAAAAGTAGATCGCACTCATTCTCTCTTTCTCTCCCTCGCACTTGAGCACAGGTGCACCCTCCTATCGTTGCATTTAATAGAGAACCATTTTTCGCGCCCTGTCTCTCTCCCGCGCAAGCGCCACTCCATGCTTCCCTCTCTCTCACTCTCACGCTAGCGCGAGACGTGGACCTAACACCTCTCCTCGAATTAAATCCCTAAAAAGTAGGAGACCTCGGCGAGCCTTTACCGCCCGATGTTATCATAAAAAGGGGGTGGGGGGAGGAGGACTATTATCAATGATATAAGGATAGTGTGTACCTAATCTTTATACGCCCTATTTAACACGTCAATAATTAATATGTTTCCTTGTGGCGAGGCCGCGCCTCCTTGTAAAGCGTGTATATAATCCGTAGCGCGGGAGCGCGCGCGTTGAAAAGAAAAAAAAATATATATATATATATATAAAAAAATGAATCCTAAAAAAACGCACGCTCCCCGTTTCGGGACTAAAATCAGCGAGTCCTTTATAAAAGAAACTCGGCTTTTCACCCCGTACGAAGATTCTCGCCCCGTTAAGAGTCAGAAACAGAGGAAATTCCCTCCACCCCGAAGTGCCGAAAAATCCATTTTTCCGTATAATTGCAAATAAGAAAAAAAATTGAAAAAAAAAACAGGGAAACTGAACTTTTCGAAACAGTCGGGTGTGTCCGTTAAAATCGCTCAAGGGCCGTCTAAAAAATAATCCTGGACGGGAATTCGGACCAGCTGATCCGAGCGCAAGATCACGGCGACTCCTCCTGTGATAAGCCGCCCGGAAGAGAGAAAGAGAAAATAAAAAATGAAAGAGGGGGGGAGAAGAAGAATAATCGGCACTCCGTCCGTGACTCCGGGTCGAGAACCTTTGCCCGGAAGGAAACGTTTTCTTTCATTAAAATACGTCGAACGAGGGGAAAGCGTCTTAAAAGCGAATGTAGAAAATGTGCCGAAAAGACGTCTCGGAGGAACCCCTCGAATTAGGGCCCCCGCATCCCTACCGCTATAATTAAATATATATCTATATTTATATGTATCTTTCTCTCACTCTCTTCAATATATATATATAATATATATATATAATATATCTGTATGTGCATATATATGCTATATAAACTGTCTATATATATATATATATCATATTCAGCTATAATATCGCCCGCAACTCGATCCCGGACGCGGAATCGAGGCTCCCCTCGCCGGCACCGCGAAGAGCACCCCGAAGAGGAGGGCGAGAAAAGGGCCAGGAGGCCGAGGAGCATCCCGCGGCACCAGGATGTCCGTCGGGAGCGTCGATTCCGCCCTTCCGGGGCCCCTTTCGCCTCCTCTCGGGGGACCGGGGCCTCCTAGGGGGGATTTTACGCCCGCGCAACCCTTTCGAAGGAGGGTCCCCGTGCCCCGGCTAGCCGGGAGGGTCGGAGGTTCCCGAGGGACCAGGGCGCGTCGCAGGGGATCCCGAGAAGACGCCGCACCGGGAGCGATATCCCGAGGGGTGGACCCCCCGAGTTCTCGCCGAGGAGCAAGAAGAGCGCGAAGAAGCTCTAGGCGTACCCACCACAGGCGTTCCCCGTCGTCGCGGTCCTCCTCGGAGCTGGTAAGTGCTCTCACCCAGGTAGGTCGTTCCCGTCCTCTGCTCCCGGGATGGGCCACCCTCCGCCGCCACCCCCACGGGTCAAATCCCTAGGATTACCTCCCGCCGGAAGCATTCCTCTTCCCCGTGCAGTCCCCTCCAAGGAGGACTCCGTCCAGGGTGCATCGGAGCTCGAGGGTCGACGTGTCCCTCCTCCTCAGCGGGTCAGCGCCAGGTTCCGCCTGAGCTGCGAGAGCCTCGCCCTGAGCCTGGCCTGGTGCCTCTTGAGCTCGGCGACCTTGGCCTCGGTGATCTCGGCGGTCTCCGAGAGGATATCACAGTAGACCGCGGCCTGCCTGAGGATGGCGACCTTGGGGGCCTTGTCCTTGGCCTCGAGGGCCGGGACCAGGACCCTGAGCTCCTCGAACGCGTTCCTGAGCTCGATCCTCCGCTGGCGTTCCATGTTGTTGTGGAGGCTCCGCTTACCGGAGTCCTGCTCGTCGTCGGAGCTGCACCTCGAGGAGTGGGCCTTCTGGGGGGTCGGCTGGTGCACCGTCCTGGGGGGCGTCGGGGGGGTCGGCGGGCTCGGCGGCAGGACGGGGGTCGCGGGGGGCCTGCCCCTCTTCTGGTAGCTCCTGGGTCGCGGCCGCTTGGCCGGCTTTGGCTCGCCCTGGGCCGTCCTCTTCCTCTGGGTCCCCGAGGAGGGGGGTCGCCCCCGGGGCCGGCCGGTCGGCACCCGCTCCTTCAGGGCAGTCTTCACTGTTGCCTGGAACCGCTGCTGCTCCTCCGGGCTCGGATACGTCGGGAAACCCGCGGGCCTCGTCGGCTTCTCGAACGTCACCACGTCGATCTCCTCCTCCTCCTCGTCCTCCTCCTCCTCCTCGGCGCCTTCCTCCTCTGAAACATAGAGAGTGGACGCTCAGGGCGACACTCGGAGATGCTCCGAAGAACGACTCGCCGGGCAAGTGGGGGGTAGATGACCCGCGAATAAAAATTAAAAAATNAATAAATTCATAAATAAAGCAGGTGCCGCAAGAGTCAGGGACCACGCGGGGAAATGAACCCTTCCGTTACAACAGTCCTCTCCGCTGGAGTGACGCCACTGAACGGGGGCACCGCGCCCCGTAGTCGCGCGAACGCCGACTATAGTCGGCGCCCGTAACGAAAGGGTTAATACGATTGAAGTAACGAAGGTGCCCGCCGGTGCCGATGACCGGTCGGCACGGCCGAGTATTACCCGACCGCGACTTAAATCCCCCCACCGCGGCGGCGTCGGATAACCAGAATTCCCGGCTCACGGGGCGGAAGCCGTCCCTCTCGACGGAGGATTCCTCGTAAAGAGCGACCCGGCCGTGGTCGGAAGCGCGACCTAAGCCGTCGAGGCGCGACCGTAGGTTTACGTCCCGCCCACGCGCCCGGACTCTCAATGAATGGCCGTAGAGAGCGGGCGCATGCGCGGCGGGGCGCGCTTAGGGGGAGGTTACGTCACTGCGCGGGCACTCGCGGCTCGGCGGCGGTGCGACGCCTCTCGGCCCGGAGGAAAGGACGCGCGGCTCCAGGGAACAGGGAGAGGAGGGGTGAACCGGGCGCTCCCGAATTCGGTCCGCGTGCGCGACGCATTCCCGCGTCCCGGGCGACGGTTTTCCAGGAACGGACGGGATCTGCATGGGGGAACGGAACTCCCCCCCGGGGCGCGAATTCCACCGGGTACCGCGGAGCGGATTAATACGATTCGATTCGGCCGAGCTCGGCAATCTCCGGCCGGTTTCGCGGAACGCGAAGGGGGCCCCTCATTCCTCTCGATCCTCCGAAATCCGCGGCAAATCGCCTCCGCCCGTTGCGCGCGCAGCATCGGGGGCGAAGCGGGGGACTCGATCGATCTGGGGAGGGGGGCATTCCGGGCGCCGCGGCGGTTCGAACCGGCGGGGGACTCGGGGGGCTACGTTCCGCGCGTGGTCCGTGACCTTGGGAGGGATGCGCGCGCAGGGCTCCGGCCCCGGATCGATCCCCCGGACCTTTCCGAGGGCCGCGGCGGGCGTGACCTTGGGCCGCCAGGGGGACCCGCAGCGGTAGGGTCGCGGTGGGGTCGCGGCCGCGCCGCGGCGACGCCCGCGAGCGACTGCGGGCTCCCGAGGCGAGGGCTCGCGCGCGCCGCCGGCGCGCGCACCCCACGTGACCGGCCGGCCCGGTGATTCACCGTTAGGAGGCCGGCGCGCGCGGGCGCGCCACTCCGCGGCGAGCCTTCCGCGGGGGCGGCACGGCGTACTTACCCGAGTCCGAGGGCGTCTGCACGCCGAGATGGTCGAGTCGCTTCCCGTCGAACTCGTTCAGGTGGTAGCAGTGGTCGCTGAGGGTGTTCCTGACCTCGGTAGGCTCGGCGGCCTCCTCCATGCGCCTCCTCTCGTGGAAGCTGCGCACCAGCTGGCCAGTGACCTCGCTCACGGGGGCGGCCTCGGTCGTGCTCAGGCACTCGGACAGCTTCTCCTGGGTGCGCGTCCTCCCCCTCCCCGTCCGCTCCTCCTGGTCCTCCTCTTCCTCCTCCTCGTCGTCGGTCTCGGTGTCCTCGTCCGAGCTCTGGGGGGTCTGGGGTCTCGTCGAGTCCCCGTCGCTTTCCAGGTTCTTCGGGGGCCGACACCGCCGGGGGGGCGGGGCCGCCCTCGAGATCAGCAGACTGTGACCGGCGGGCACGCTCTTCGGGGCCTGGGCGCTCCTCCTGGTCGAGAGGATCCGGTTGTGCTCCTTGCTGATGCACAGGCCCGCCCACATGCAGTCGTGGTGCCGGATCTCCCGGGAGCCCAGGCACGAGAAGGAGAGCTCGTCGCAGACGTCCGAGAGGGCCTCCTCCTCGTAACCGAGGAGCGGATGGGGACCCTCCAGCCCGTCCATGTCGAACTTCTTCCAGATGTCCTCGGAGACGACCGTCGCCGTGTCGGCGGGCCCGTAGAGGAGGCCGAGCTCGGGGCTCTCCCAGGCCGCCACCGGCACCGGCATCCTGGATCCCCAGGGGCCCGGGGACCGGGCCCGCTCCCCTGCCTCCGAGGCTGGCCCCAAGACGTCCGTCCTCGCGGTCCTGCGGAGAAGAAACGCGGCCCCATTAGCGACACCGGGAACGATCCACGGGACTCGCGCCGACGAGTTACCCAGGGCCCGCCTCCCTCCCCCCGAAATCGACCCCGCAGGGACGCGGAACCGGTCGGACCGCCACCGATTCCCACGTGGGAAGACCCGGCGGGTCTCTCTATCGGCCCCAAACGAGGCGGCGAATCGAAAAGGTCCCGGAAAACCGCCGACCGTGAGAATCCTCCCGTTTCCTCGTCGCTCCATACGGGCTCGTTACCACGCCGGGGAACCGAGAGAGAGGGACCCATGCGCGCGCGCGCCGGAGTAAGAGAGAGGTCCGACTCATCGATCGCAGGGAAGGGCCAACGACACCGGGCGCGACCGGTACCGGAATCGCGGAGGGTTCCACGTATCCATTCCCTCGCTCTTTCCCCCCGGCACATCGATTACAAAAAAGTAACCAAAAGAAAAGAAAAGAAGAAAAAACACCCGAAATCGAAAAAAGTCCCACATTCTTCCGGGGTCTCGAAAGATCCTATATCGACGTTTCTCCTGCCAGTCGCAATCGAAGTCACGATCCACGCGCGCTCCGGGGTCAGGGTGCGCGCGCACGCGCGAGCTCCGCGACCGCGGGAAAAACCGCGGCGGCGCGCCTCGCCGGCACCAAAGATAGAGACAGAGATACATATGCGTATATGTATATACATATATACGTATGTATATAAAGAGAAGCGCGCGGGGGGCCGCCGGCTCGCCGGGCCGTGAAAAAGCCGTGATTTCTCTTTTCCCTGCCCCCCGGGGGGAGGGGGGGTGGGGCGCGACTAACCTCACGCTCTCCTCCTTTTTCCCCGGTCTCACGGGTTCCGCGGGTTTCACCGGTCGGCAGGGGGGAGTCGGGGGGACGCGCGGACCGGTTTCGGGAGGGCCCGGGTAAACCCGAGGCGAGGGTCTCTCTTACTTACTTCGTCGCCCCTCGCGCCTCGGCGAGAGCACGCGGAGGTGTCCCAAAGGTGTCCGCGGCGCCGCCTCCCGGGCTCCCTCGGGCGGCCTCGGCTAGTTCCGGCTAGTTCCGGCTAGTTCCGGCGGCGCGGCGCTAGGTGGCGCCCGCGGGACCGCTGCGCGAGGAATGCCGCCGGCGCGCTCCTCCCTCCGTTGGGGCTCGCTCTCTCTCACTCTCTCTCTCTCTCTCTCTCTCGCTCTCTCTCTCTCTCCCTCCGCCTCTCGCGGCTCACTTCGCGCCTCCCGACGTCGACTAGGGGGCCGCCCGGCCGACGTGGCGTCGCCGGCGCCGTTAACCGCTGTCCCGGGTCTGCGATAACTCCCGATGGTCGACGCGGCACTCGGGCATCCTCCAACGGCGGCTGGCTCGCGGGTGGGTCGCACTCGCGCGCGCGCAAGGCCGATCTCTGCGCGCCCGGTGTCGGGAGACGGAACGCGAAACACCCCTGCCGCGTCGCCCGGTCAGAGCCGACTGAACGCTCTCCGGCCGGCGGCGCGAGCCGCGCGCCGACCGGCCGACGCCCGCCGGGGGAACCGGCCCAGGGCCGCACCCACGGACGCCGGCCCCCCACTCCGCGCCGCGGTCGCACGTGGACCGGCTCGCGCCAAAGAATTCGGAAGTCCCATAGAAGCCCGGATCCTATGTTACCGCTCGATGCTCTAAAAGTTGACTAACAAACCAGAAGTGGGGGTAAAAGAGAGAACGCATGTGTTATCCAACAATATCTCACATACGGGAGGAAGAGAGACGCATATAGAAAGCCGAGTATCGCGGGTAAGATAAAGAAAGAATCCAACTCGCTATATATCCCCATATGATTAAGAGAGATGGAGAGACGATTACAGCGCCGCCATCCGGTGGCTGACGTACTATTTATCCAGGATAGAACGTCCGTATCCTTCCGGGACTCTGTAGAGACTTCTGAATTCTTTTCTCCCGCCGAAATCCCGCGACCCACCTCTCACTTGATACGGTCTATCGTAACGGAGAAAGGGATAAATAGATGAAAAGGGAAACGAGAATTATCTCGCGTAATATGGATGGATTGAGGGTAGGCTCCGCAGTAGGGATTTCCTACAATTTTAGCGATTACGGCGGGAGAGACGGAGAAAATTCCAGGTGGCGGCTTTAAGCGCGGGGCGAAGGAATCTAGGTCCGGCCCTGAGCCGGCCGCGTGGGGATCCGCGGGCGCCGCCGCGCCCGGATGACCCGCGGCCGGCCGACGCCGATTTCCGCGGATCTACGTCCTCCCGGTGTCCTGGCCGAGTATCCACGTCCTCCGGAGGGCTGACCCTCCCCCCGTGGACCACGGGCTCGCTTGTCCCGCCGTACTTCTCGAGATTTCCTCCGGAATGGCGGAAATCCGCGGGACTGTCTGCGCGCGGCGTAGCTGCGTGGCGCGGTCGCTAGGCGCGGCGCGCCGGGGGGGTTGCGCGCGCTCAGGGGTGGGGGCGGGGTCGCGTGGAGGGGGAAAACTCGGTCCCGCGCTCCGCGAGTTTAATTTCGCTTACGGCGAGGCTGGGGCCACTTAGCGCGAGCCCCGCGCCCCGGGAACTCCGCCTCCGGCGTTCCTTCCAGGAACACCGGAGGCGTCCCCGGGGTGCCTGGCTTTTCCCTGGGGACTCTCTCCGGGCCGATCGAGCCCGCCGATCTCCCGAGGGACCGGTTCCCCTCCTGCGGGAACTCGACCGCTCCGAAAATCGAGCCGACTTTCGGCCCGTACGAAAAAGGAGAGAGCGCGGCTCTCTCTCTCCTAGCTCCTCTACGTAGCCGCAAAAAGCGACCGCTCCGAAATCCCCGGCAATATTTACAATCCTCGAAGAGGTCGGACGCGAACGTCGCGCTCGAGCCTCTCGACGACCTCTCCCGAGGAAGTTTGCGACCCCGCGACCGTTTCCGCCGCGCCGACCATAGGCAGGACGAAGACCCTCGTCGTTTTGTTTCCCCTTTTTTCTTTTTTCTTTCGAAACTCGTCCGCGTCCCATCTTCTCGAGGCGATCTCGAATCCCCAGGTCCCGCTCGTTTGACGGATCGATCCATCGTGGATCCCGCGGTCCCGGAACGACATTCCGGGACGCGCGCCCACTTATGGCCCGACCTATCGATATCTCCTCGATCTCCTTTCGGATCCTTTTCGCCGGTTTGGACCATATCCCCCTCCCCCCACCTTTTCAACTCCACGATCCCCCTCCGAAATGGGTGATTCGGGCGGGACCGACTTATCTACGGGCACGTGTCTCTTATCGCGCCGCGAATTCGCGGATTCCCTATCGGCGCGACCACTCGAGCCGACCTTGGGCGAAAAGAATGGAAAAATGAGAAAATTCGAGAACGGATGCGGGGAAATGGAATTCATTGATGGCGTAGGTCGGGGGCCGCGTTTTAGGAGGTTCGGGACCGTGGGAAAAATTAAAAAAAAAAATAAAAGATATAGGTAAAAAGAGGATTAACGTTTCACGCGGAATTCAGCGGTAGGGAGCGGCTGCACCGCATGCGGCGCGCAACGCAACGCATCGCGATGCGGTCTCTGCCCAAGGTTACCCGCCGTCTGGGTGCATTCTCGGTGACGTCACTTCCTAGACGCTTCCCACAGGTGGATGCCCCCGGAGGATGGTCCGACCTCGTCTGGAAGTCGCGATTCCTGTTTTTCGAAGTTTCTCTCTTTTTTTTTTTTTTTCTCTCTCTCCCTCTCTTCCCAATAATCAGAACGCGATAAATCGATAATCGCGTTTGTAAGTAAGGAGAGTAATTCCCTCCTAGGGGATTGCGGTTAAATTTTGGGAAAATTTCCTTTTTCTTCCTGCGAGAGAAATTAACGGATCATTCCTGGACAGGGACTCCCCAGGGACTCCCAGGTCGCGATTCTTGTTTTTCGAAGTTTCTCTCTTTTTTTTTCTCTTTCTCCCTCTCTTCCCGATAATCAAGAAGCGATAAATCGATAATCGCGTTCGTAAGTAAGGAGAGTAATTCCCTCCTAGGGGATTGCTGTTAAATTTTGGGAAAATTTCCTTTTTCTTCCTGCGAGAGAAATTAACGGATCATTCCTGGACAGGGACTCCCGAGGGACTCCCAGGTCGAGCGGGGGCATTTTCGCAGAAATGCGGTTCCCGAGGGACTACCAGCCCGCAGGACCTCGGGTAGCTTCCGCAAGGACTAAGGGACCGGGAAACGGTGGCAGTAAATCTTTTTTCCCGGATTATCCTTCGCATCCCCGACCTGGGTCAAGAGCGTCCCGAAGTGACACTTTCCTCCCCCACTCTGCCCCACCTCCTTCAAGATTATTTCCGTCCTTGTTAACTAAATGAAAAAAAAAAAGAAAAATATCCATTCCTCCACCTGTCTCCCTTTCGATCGTTGCGTTCTCCAGAGGACGCATTGTTTGTCGAATCACGCGGTGCAATTCCATGACTCGACTCCTATCTTTTCTTTCCTTTTTACGCAAAAAGTCCAATCGGACGTCGATCACCTGCAAGGATCCTTTTTGTTCCGCATTTCCTCGTTACATAGGGAAAAAAAAAACAATAAACAAGAACCCCTCCTTTTGCATTGTCCTTTTTTCTCGTAACGTTGCGTTCTCGGCGATTCCGCTTGTGACTCACTTTCGGCCAAAGGATTCAGCCTCGATCGTTGATGTCGGTAAGGATCAAGGCACCGTCAAGGGTACCCAGGATTTCAGGGAAAGGATTCCGCTTTTCCTCGTCACGTTAAAAAATAAAACAATAAACAAGAACGCCCCCCTGCATTGTCCTTTTTTCTCGTAACGTTGCCTTCTCGGCGATTCCGCTTGTGATTCACTTTCGGCCAAAGGACTCAGCTTCGATCGTTGACGTCGGCAAGGATCAAGGCTACCCAGGACTTCAGGGAAAGGATTCCGCTTTTCCTCGTTACATTAAAAAAAAAAAAAAAAAACAAGAACGCCTTCTCCTGCATTGTCCTTTATTCTCGTAACGTTGCCTTCTCGGCGATTCCGCTTGTGACTCGCTTTCGGCCAAAGGACTCAGCCTCGATCGTCGACGTCGGCAAGGATCAAGGCACCGTCAAGGCTTCCCAGGACTTCAAGGAAAGGATTCCGATTTTCCTCGTTACGTTTAAAAAAAAAAACCATAAACAAGAACGTCCCCTCTTGCATTGTCCTTTTTTTCTCGTAACGTTGCGTTCTCGGCGATTCCGCTTGTGACTCACTTTCGGCCAAAGGACTCGGCTTCGATCGTCGACGTCGGCAAGGATCAAGGCACCTTCAAGGCTACCCAGGATTTCAGGGAAAGGATTCAAGGCCGCCTCCGTCTCTCCTCGTCTCCATCTGCGGATCCTCGGGAGGATCCTTCGTCCTCCTCGAGTCCTTTCTTTCCTCGACGTCGCGTCTCAAGGACCTCCTCGCCGCCGACTTCCGAGTCTCCTCCTCGGAGTCCCTACGGCCGATAACCCGAACTCGTCGCGACGATAACAGGCGCAAGCGGAATCTCGCCCGATACCGACTCCTTCGGTTCCCTCGTAATCTAATCTCCCGATAAATTCCACGAGGTTGACAATTCGAGGCAAACTCTCGAGGGTAATCATTTCTTCTTTATTTCCCCCCCCCCCGCCCTCCCGAAGAAATTCCCTCCTGTTGATTTTTTAAAGGGAAAGTGACAGCCGGGTAAGAAGATGTGGGAGAAACAGGACCACCAGGAGTCCGAGGTCAGGAGACATGGGGGGAAAACCCGACTCGCGGGAAAATATTTTCAAAGGGACAGGAAAACGGGGGAAAGTGTCCACTTTTCTACCCTTAACATGTGGTAACGCTCTCCAGGATACTCGACACTCCTCCTGTTGGGCCATAAATTATCCTAGAATTTCGGGATTCCAAGTCGCAGGCATTACGGCCCAAAGAAGAAGAAGAAGAAGAAAATGGACACTTGACGCTTTTCCCCCCCGAAGAGCGAGAAGAAAAAAAAAAGGGCGACGAGGGTGGCTTAATTGCCCCTCTTCAGTGCGGTATTTAAATATGGATATTGGGACCCGAGGAAAATAATAAATTCCTTTTAACGTTTAAAATCGCCTCCTGGAAATATCCTCGGCCAAGAGGGCGGCCTGCGCGTGAAAGGGACACATTTTCAAAAGGGAGCAGAAATTTCGACTGCTCGCGGCATAAATATTTATGACGTGGCCTGTCAAAGGAGACGCACCCTCTCCTAGGAGTTCGGAGGCCTACCTGGGACTCGACAATAAAGAAATTGGAGGATTTATTGGCCCGGGTCCCTCATTAACTCCGTTAACAATGCGAGGCGGCGGCATTTAAGGTGATATGAAAGTGTCATACATTTACATACCAAAAAGTCAAAATATATATAAAACTTCATCGCGAAATTATAGGAGGTCTTAAGGAAGAACGCGATGCTCGTGAAATTTCATTTTTTGAAAAACAAAAATTGTGTTTATCTCAGGCAAAAACCAAAAAAAGACTTTTTTTGTCGAA